TCAACAGGTTCATGGGCTTCTTGTTATTCCTGCAGGCACGTGACTTTAGGACTGTACAGCTTAGAGACAGGAAGATGCTCGTTTTTCCATCTACTGTGGCAAAAAGGTGGGCAGCTCAATGCCATTGCAGCCACAGCAGAGGAGTTACAGCTAATGAAACGACTCATATATCACTGAGTGTGATGGCTGCTGCAAATAGCCTTTCTTCATCTCTCTTAGTGGGAGAAATGTCTTAGCAACTACCATTTGAAGAGTACTCTACAAATTGGAAAAAAAAAAAAAAGTTTACACATATGGCCTATTGCTCAGTCCTCATAAATACCCTGTGGATTTTCTGTATGACACTGGTTTTCAGTTGAGGAACCGAGACTTAGAAAAGACGAGCAAACTGAGTAGCAGAACCAGGACTCTAACTTAGATGTGAGACCACACCATCATTTCCCTGTGCTCTCCCCTGCCCTTCAGGATATTTCCAATCAATTGAGGTGAGCATTGTATGTCTAGAAGCCTGCTAGAGAGCTTCTTCTCTATGTGGGCTTGGATGGATCATGTCACAAAAGTTTTGAGGTCAAGAAGGCATTGAAGATATACCTAAGGTTAAGTATATGATTTTCATTTTCTAAACATTAATTTAGATCCCTGTATTTATTTTCTATGATTACCATGCACTGGGTGACTTAAAATAACAAAAATGCATTCCCCACAGTTCAGGAGGCCTGAAGTCTGGTGTCAAGATGTTTATAGGACCATGGTCCCTCCGAAGGCTCTAGGGGAAAACTTGTTCTTTGCTTCCTGCAGCTTCCAGTGGCCCCAGGCAGTCATTTACTCCTGTGGCTACATCACTCTATCTCTTCTTCTGTTGGCACCTCACCTCTGCCTCTTATTCATATGCCTTCTCCTCTGTGTTCCTGACTTATTAAAATATGTATGAATACATTTAGGACCAATTTAGGAAAAACTTCTCTTTTTAAGACCTATAACTCATACATCTTTGGCCACATAAGGTAATATTCACAGGTTCTGGGGATTTGAGTATGGACACATCTTTTTGGAAACCACCATTCTATCCACTAAAGACACGGAGCCTCAATCATGCCTATTATAAAAATTATAATAATACCACTTATCTGAAGCAAAAACATTAAATAAGATAATCTTAAGTAAATTGCCTCATATACAACAGGTGCTCAATGGAAGGGTTTTGCTCCCTTTCTCATCAAGGGAGCTTTGAGTACAACCGCACTACTTCTATATAATTTTCCTCATTGACCCATCAGAATCGTTCTCAATATATACTCAGATTCTCTATCTCCTTCATTTGTTCTTGAGATCCCCTCTTCCTGAAAAGCTCTACTCATTTTCAGGACAGACAACACCAAATTTTTGAATTCTATTTTATTATGAAGCAGAATGGTGCTTCTAAAAGTCTCCAAGGTGAGTAATAAGTTTTAATTTTATAAAATAAAATAATGTTGTAGTGATAAAAATACTTAATTTCTCACCTTGTTACAAAACAATAGCAATTTAGGGAGCCACCCTAAGCCAGGACTTCATTTTGAGACACACTGGGCTGGGACACATAATATGGACTTCGTAATAGCCTCAATTCCAAGGTTCTCATCTCTCTCGCACTATTACCCCTTAGAATTTCCATGTTGATATTTACTTTTTTTGTAAATTCTGTCTTTTTCAGAGATTAAAAATGTCCATGCAGAATTAGGTACTTATCAACCACAACCAGTTTAGCAAAATTATTTTTCAAAAGGCAGTCATTTCTTCCATTACTCCAAAGCATTACTTCATACCAAGATTTCACACCAAAAATATAATAACCATATCCTCCTTCTTCCTGAGAGGACTGAAATATAATTAATTTTTCACTTTATCTTTTGTCATCTTTATTTACCCTACTTTGTTTCCATCTAGATGTACATCTTAATTATACCTAGCATTATTCTCTTTTCCCCCCTACTGGATAAGCTTTTGAATAGAGTATCTCTTTCTCCTGATATTTTCTCTTGATATTTTTTAAACTGAACTTTATCCCAGTTAGTTGTAGTGCTCTCAACATTATATTTACTTTTTGCTTTACAACTTTTTTCATTTTATCACCACCCATTCTATGTTGAAATATATGGTTTCCTAAAGTCATAAATATTCTTAGTGAACTTTTCTGGTATTTGTTGAATGCATGTAACAATAGGGCTGGGGTTGTGGCTCAGTGGTAGAGCACTCACCTAGCACGTGCAAGGCCCTGGTTTCGATCCTTAGCACCAAATAAAAATGAATAAATAAAATAAAGGTATTGTATCCAACTACAAGTAAAAAATAAATATTAAAAAAAAGAAAGGAAAAATAATTACTGGGGATCACATATCCACTATACAAATTGCTTGTCTGTCATTCCCACTGTCCCTATTACCTAATTAGCAGTTAGTCAGTCTTGATTTTTCTCCCTCACCTTCATCTGTTTATCCTTGTTCACCACTTTGACATAGCATCCTTTTCCATTTTCAGTAGCACGTCTTCCTGACATTCTTGTCATGATCCAGAAGACCAATTATTTCCTTTGATTGCCTTCTACATAACCAGCTATTAGCCTCCTCTTTCTTCCAAAATCATGACCACACAGAGAATCCCACTCATCCTTCCAACTGTTCCTACTTTTCTACCTAGTCCTAGAGATGCATGGTGGATTCCCTATGACTATGGTGCTTGTTCTCATATGACACATCAGAGTAGTGGGATCAGTGCATTTGATGAGTCTTGTCAAGTTTTCTATCATAACCAGAGGTAAATCGTATCATATCTCTGTTAAAGCAGCACAGAGACTGAAGACCTCAAGATGTTTATTCATGGCTCCTTCACCCAGCCAACCATCTTTAGGAAATACATGTTTTTATTGGTAGAGACAGCACATGTCCATCATTTGAATATTAGGCTTTCTTAAGACCTCCTGGAACCTGGGGTGAGGCTTCCCTTGAGTATGTCTGGAATCACCCTCCAGAAGAATCTTCTAAAGATGCCATGTGGCCTAATTTCCTCTTGATCATCTCTAGCCATGTCAAAAGCCACCAGGTACTCTCTGTGACAGCCTTGAAGTCACTTCACAGTCCCATGGTACCTTTTCTTCCTCTGTATAGCCCCTAGATATTTAACCTTAAAAAAAAAATAAGCTGTCCTCTCCTACTCTGAATCCTATGATTCATTTCTCTCCAAGGGCAGATGGCAGAGTACAATATGGTTCTCCCCTTTCTGGCTTTCTTTCTGATACTCCAGAACAAGAAAACCAGCCCGTCTATTGTAAGATAACGTGGAGAAGTAGATGAAGATACTGACAACAAATCTGAAATTTCCCCCCCAAAATAAAGGTCATCTATGAGTTTTCCTAGTTATTCTCCTTGGCATATAATTTACTGACTCCCATTTTATCTAATATACTCAGGAGCCAGGGCAAATTCTCCTGGATTTCTAATGTTGTCTACAAACTTTGTTATAATTCTCATCCCTGGTGCCAAGTTTCCAGGTTGACTAATGTGGTACTCGTATGGGGCCCTGTTTAGAGACAAATAGTAGGAATACCACTTTTTTTAAAGACCACTTTTCTGGATTTCAGGCTATTCCACTCTAAGTTGCTGAGATGTCCTCACTCTTCCTGAGACCATCCAGTCTCCTGACCTATAAAGTCCTTTTTTTTAAATCTCCTACCACCTCAGAGGAAAAGAGGCCTTCCTTATTTACTCGCTAAAGAATCTTTGGCAAGAGCCCTGTTTTCCCCAGGTGGGCAGTCCTGTCATTCTCTTTTCTGAGAAATGGGCCCTCCACAGTGACTGCAGCACATATGCCAGCCAGGTAGGATGCTTTCCACTCATAGCCAACTTGAACTTTCTCACCTGCTGTTCCCAGACACTGTCTGTGTACAGTTTCTTGGATCTTGGCCCCTGTGGCTCCCAACATCTCATGAGAAGCCAGACCAGTCACAGAATCTACATGACTAATGCACAGTGGTAACACGGGGGGTCATAAGTAGTAAGAGAATTGAGAATTCCAAGATAGCAATACTACTATGCGAAGCCAAGTACAGGGCCCTCTGAGAACAGAAGTTTCGTTGACTGTACAGGTTCTTTCGATAGTCTTTAGCCTGTGTGATCTAACTTTACCATATTCGAGTTTTGACATCTAGCCCTAATTAATAATCTAGCCTTACTCAGGTCAAGTTGTTGGTTCTACTATGCCCTAAATTCTCCGAAATGACTCAGAAGGGTGTCTGTCTCCTGCCCAGGGAAGAGATCCTTTCAGAATCAAAATCTTATAATATGAAAATAATTTTAGCTTTTTAACAATCAAGTTTTGACGATTTGGTCTGTGCCTAGCATCATTCATGAAGCCAAGAACACAAAAACAAAGAAGATTCGCATCTTCCCAAGCTTATAGTCTAGCAGGTATCATCAGTCTTAGAGAAGTAACTTTTTTTTTTTTTTGGTAATAGGGATTGAACCCAGGGTCACTTAACCACCCACTAAGCCACATCCCCAGTCTTTTTAAATATATATATATATATATATATATATATATATATTTTTTTTTTTTTATTTAGAGAGAGGGTCTCCCTGAGTTGCTTACAACCTCGCTAAATTGAGTAGGTTGACTTTGAACTGATGATCCTCCTGCCTCAGCCTCCCAAGCCACTGGGATTACAGGCATGTGCCACTGCATCTGGCTTAGAGAAGTAACTACAAAATATGGAAGAAAAAAAAAAAAAACAGGGGAAGGAGAAAGAAAAGAACCATGAGTATGTTTAATTTCTATCAATTAAAAAAGATATGTAGTTCTTTACACCTGTTTGTGGGCATGGATTTCCCTTCTTCTCTTCCTTCTCATTTTTTTTAATTTTTGCCCCCAATCTGGCTTATTTCCTGTGCATGTTCTCCAGAACATCACTCTAACAGAGCAGAGTGTATAGAAGAGCTTCTCAAACCCTCACACCTTGTCCTCTAGAGAGAGATCAGCTAAAATTGCCACAAACACCCGTGGCCAGCCCCTGGGGCACAAAAGAAACTCCAGCCCCGTTGCAGTTCACAGCTTTCAGTGTTTCTTGAGTCTCTAGACGAACCAGCAGTGTTTCTGAACCGGCTGGGGAAGAAGTTCTTTTCTGCAAAATGTTCCTCTAGTCATAGATATCAACGGGCTATGTCTTTCTGCCCCAGGTGAGTATCTGCTATATGTAAAGGGACAGGTGGATTGCTGAATCTGCAGGGAACCCCTAAAATCAGATGTGAAAACTTCAGCCTTCAAAAAAGCTTCCCTTAAACAATAGAATTGGAAGCAGTTTTAGCAGAACTATATCAGGCATGGGCGCTATGGCCAATCAATGGACTGGTTTGGTTTGTTTGTTTGGGGAGTTTTAGGGTTGTGTGTGTGTGTGTGTGTGTGTGTGTGTGATTTTTATTCCCCCAGTGGTGCCAGGGATTGAACCCAGGGCCCTGTGCATGTGAGGCAAGCACTCTACCAACTGAGCTATGTATTCCCAGCCCCTAGGGTTTTGTTTTGTCTTTTAATGTGTTGTATTTTTAGGTTATTTTTAGACTATTTTAAGTTATCAGTCTTTATAATCGCTCTTTTGTCTCACAGAAACATCTTTGCCTAAGAGTTTAAATTGTTTAGAAGAACAATTTTGTTCTTCCTCTAGGAGACTAAGAATGCAACCACAGGAAAGAAAATGTTCCCCACCTGCAACCCTTCCGCTTGCCTTAATGTAAACATCAGACTTGTAGTAAACTGACTTGGAGGTGACAAAGAAACAAGGTGCCAGCAAGGAATTCTTGGTGCTTTTTGTTGGTGGGTTGGTTTTGTTTTTTTCCAGAGGCACCTTCTAGCTGTCTACTTTAGTCTTCCATCTCTGCTCAGTATCAGCTTTGACCATCAGTCCCAAAATGAGTGGTCACCTATGTCCCATGTCCTCTGCTATTTGGAGATCTCATGCTCACCGGCCTGCCTTGATTCCTGAAATTCCACCATTGGAGTCATTGCTGCAAGAGGTGAAGTAATGGATTAGATCCTCTCCTAGTGACACCTCACCAAGGCAGACTATGATGTGGGAAAGCAGAGAAACCATGGAGGTCCAGGATGCTCAGGGAAAGAAGACATAGCAAAGACAAAAGTTCTGAAGTGGAAGCATGGGTCCCAGAAAATGAGTCTTTCTCTTTTACGGTTGAACATAGGGTGGGAGCCACTCTCATGCCTTCATGAGCTTGTTCTAATCTTGCCAATTAAGATTTTCTAATTTACAAGGGTCTGTGGAAAAGGCCACAGACTGAAAATCATCGAAGAGTTCAGGCTGATGTGTACTTGTATGGTTTGGATATGAGGTGTCCCCCAAAAGCACACATGTGAGACAATGCATGAAGTTTCGAGGAGAAATTATTGGGTTGTGAGAGTCTTAATGCAATCCATGAATTAATCCCCTGAAAGGGATCAACTGAATGGAAACTAAAGGTGGGTAGGGTATGGTTGGAGGAGGTGGGCATTGGGGGATGGAGACATGAGTTGCTACACCCTGCCATACTCTTCCGCCATGGTGTTATACCTCACCTCAAGCCTCAGTTATCTGTGGACTGAGACCTCTGAAATCATGAGCACCAAAATAAACTTTTCTTCCTCTACAATTGTTCTGGTCAGATTTTTAGTCAGAGCAGTGAAAAAGCTGACTAAAACATGCTTATTCTCCTATGCCTGTTACAACAGTGCCAACATGTGCTTGATCTTCTCCTCATCTTGAATACTTTGCCATTGACTGGCATTTTGGAATGGCCTCTCCAAGGCAGTTCCCTTGGACAACACAGTGAGGAGGAAGACAAACCCTACTCATCCTTGAAATTCCTGAAGAAAATGGGTTGGCAAAAGCCATGGCCCTCCTCACTACTTATTGGCAGACAGACCATTGAAAGAAATGGTATTCTCTGTGAAATTTACCTTTATAGGTGAGCAGGATTGATTGCTATCAAATTAAACTTCTCACTCATCAGAGACAATAATTTATAATGGAAAATAAAATGGATTTTTAGAGCTGCATAAACCTTCCCAGAGCTGCTTCCTTTTGCATTTTTTACATCAGTTTGGCCACCTAGCCTGTCTGAGCCTCCTTTATTCATCCATGAAATGCGGATGATGATGCCTCTTACAGGACTGTAGGGGAATGGGTAGGGAGCCTGGCACACAGGTGGCTTTCAACAAATGCAGTTCTCTGCCCCTGTTAATTCCCTACTTGAATGGAGCATATAAAATTGCAACGTTCTGCGTTATTAAAGTTGTTAATCGCAACACAGATAAGGAAGAAGAATGTTTTAAATTCTTGCTTAGACCCTAAATAATCTAGCTCAACTCTGTACAGCTAGCTCAAGAACTATGTCCCCCAAGACCAGAGAGTGGGTTTGGAGCCCCTATCTCGAAACATCAGCTTTTGATTTCTGTGCACAAAGGAAAATGGAGCTCTCCTCTTACGAAATTCAAAATATGGGTCTGTCATGATAAATATTTACTTAGTTTCCACTGATCAATTATTCTATTTATTCCTAGAATTACCAACAAATGAGTTTAAACAATTTTTCAACCACTTATGTACTGCCCTACACCACAGAAAGAAAATACTCTCGATTTATTGTGTGAACACCCAAATAATACTTAATGTTTTAGGACTCACTGTGTCAAGTGTCCCTGGCAATGAGACTACAAAGGACTCTCCCAAAATGGTCTCATTTATCCATGCAGCCCCAACAATAAAAATTTGGGGCTATAACATAAGCCTTGAAGGCTTTTTCAAAACAAAAATCAATAGGCTGAACTCAAAGACATAAAAGGACTTAACCCAGGCTTCAAATTCCTGAGGTGGGAGTTCACCATAGATCACAGCAAGCTGATCTTGCTTACAGGAATTGACATAGCGAGAGCTACTGAGGAAAGAGACAGAGGGAGACACCAAGAAGGGGTGGGGGGGGAAAGAAGAAGAAGAAGTATTTGGGAGTATTTAATTTTTGTGAAAGAATTTTCTAATTGCTGCACCCCAGGTGAAGATTCAATCTGAAAATTACCTTTGAAAAGGTTTTCAAACCCTGGATACTAGTAGAGTTGGTTAAAACGGCATTTGTTTGGGGCCCCCAATGGGAAATAATAAATTCTTGGTGATTAATGACACTTTATGTGCTGTTGGCCATGAAAAACATTTTCTGTTCATGAGTCACAACGGAAGCTACAACTTGAATTTTATTGTTCAATTTGCTTTTTTTTTCTTTCCTGGGTGAAACAGCAGTAGATTGGAGAGTTGAACATTGATAGAGTCAGCAGGATCTCAAGGGACTAAAAGCTAAGCCAAGCCAATGAGGGGAATGCCAGAGATTATCTACTCTCAGTAAAAATGCAGGATTCAGAAAGAAAAAGAAAGAAGAGTGATTATAAAGAATGACAGTCCTTAACTTAGACAAATTTTTTTGGCAAAGTTGGTCAGTTTCCTTTTTAAAAAAATAAAAAATAAACAAACAAAAAGTTTCCTGGTTGACAGTTGCTAAAACTCTTCTTTTTTTCCATTTTTGACACACTGTTGAAAGAATAAACTGGTGTCATCCCACAGGACTGCAGGAGGAACACATCTTCAGAGAGGACACATCAGCTTTGGCTGTTAGAAGAGCCTTGGAGTGAGGAGCCCGAAGGGGTGGAGAGGAGATCTCTGCTCAGTTAATGGTAGGTTTTGTGGGTGTTGATTTTTTCCCCCTTCATATCCTTAAAGAAGTCCTCTAACTTGGACCTTGGGCCTTGCTAAAACAATACAAAATTTCGTGATTTTTTTCAAGTATATTTTAGTTATACTTCAAAAACTGGGCTTGTCATTTTTTTTCCCCCAGTTTTGGCAGTAACTGAAAATAGAGCAAAATAAAAGACTTTCAGGGTAACCGTGGATCTTACTGAAATCTAATATGTTCATCACCAACCCCATGTCTGTTTCTCTTCCACATTAATTTCTCCCATCTGCAAAAGAAAGAGCACCTCAAGGTTCATAAAGACATTGGATACAAGGCATGACATTTACATGGAAAGCTACTATTTTTCAGGAATCTGAAAGAAACAAAAACCAAGTAAACCAAAAAACAAAAATGCCCCCAAGGGAGTATTGCACTATAGTCCTCACTCTCTCACATGTTGTGACACTTGCATCCAGGAGTTTCTACTCCTTTTGGCTCAGAAATGCAGGCAAACCTTCCCCCACTGGGTAGCTCCACTAAAAACTTGGGTAAATTCCTCTCTATTTTCCTCCGCCTCTCAATTTCCTGTAAACGATAAAACTGTAAAACAAAGAGTAATAAGATCCGAATCTTCCTGCTGGGGACTTGATGAAGATGAATTAGACATTGACAGTCAGGAAAAGATGGAAGGCCCTCCATGACAGAGGCCAAACTAATTCAAAATGAAAATCATCAATTTGACTGTGCTCATATGTTACTTAAAAATCAATGAAGAAACAAAGTGAGGGACCCCGAAGCCATTTTAGCATCCCCTGCTTTTGCACTCAGTACTAACTTCGCAGCCTTGAAATGTCTTGGCTCTGAAAACCCAGTCAATCATCATTAATAATGATATTTTTATAGCACTTTAAAAATTAGAATTTCCAGAGCCACTTTGATAGATGCTCTGTCACTACTTTGCCATTTGCGTAATTTTTTTCTGGGCTGTTTTTTGTTTTTCCATTCCTCTCCACCCACCCACCCATTTAAAAAAAAAATTTTTAAGCAGAAAATGGGAGTAAATTCTTTTGATGAAAAAATTCATGAGAGATGGCACAGCTTGCCCTATGCTAGGGATCCCCTACTATGAGGGGAACAATCTAGTAAATGAGACAAGAACTTTCAACTTTAATGGTTCTAGAACTTCAGTCTTATTTAAGGATTTAAAAACAAATGCCTCTGCTGCCTCCGGATCTGGAGCAAGAGGTCACTGAGCTTGCACAAAGATGGGAAAGATTAGAAGCCAAGGCTGGGTAGTGGTTGTCTCCACTACACAAACACCTCAAGCAACTTTCTTCTTTGCTGATCTCATTCCAAACCTGAGTGATTACTACCTCTAATGTGACCTTTCCAGAACGTTCCAAAATATTACTTCAAAAGATTCCAATTCATTAAACTATAATTAAATGTTTGTCTAGTTCTAGTTCTGGATTGCTCTTTCCCCACCACTGAGAATTCCTTGCCTTTGGAAATGCAGATGTAGATGAAATTTCTTAATTCTGTTGCAACTTTCACAAAACCATCCAAGCTTAGAGATACCCTGCAAATGCCAGCTTTGAAAGGGAACTCAACAAATTTTTGTTTAACCTTCCCACCAAACTAAAACATAATAATAATTTAAAAATCTGAATTTTTGAATGTTTGTACTTGTTCAGTTGTTTTTTGTTTGTTTGTTTGTTCGTTCGTTTCGTTTTGTTATGGTTTTTTTCCCCTCTTGTAGCCTACTTTATTCTCTGCCGCCAAAGACTGCACAGGAATTTTTATCACCATTGGGGGCCTAATACTGGTGGTGAAAAAGCAAGTTCCTGTCCTGGTTGCTGAACTAAAAAGGAGTAAATGTCTTGGATGTCTCAAGTTTCTTTGTCAAGCAAACAAAAATAAAGGAATCTAGTTTACTGGAATAGTTGCAGTGCTCATTAAAATTGATGACTTCGAAGATTCTGAGCCTGTCTTCCTTTCACGAGGGCCCTCAGCCAAGAATCTGCTGTGCAGTTAAAGACATCATGTTATTGGGGTGTTGTAAAACAGACCACTGCTGTTGTCTCTGCTCACCCTTCAGGTCTCAGGGTAACAGTGGAAAGGTTTCGGGCAACCAGAGGATGGTGGGCGAAGTCATTTGGCCAACGGACATCCATGGTACAGACCTAATATGCAGCCTGGTATTTTCTATCCATAAACATCAAGTCGAAAAAAGAAAGAAAAGGAGCTAGATTAGCATGGGGCGGAGTTTGGTTTTTCTTAGAAATGTGCGACTCTGCAGAAGTGTGCCTTTATTTTTGGCACAAATTGCTACAGCAAATTACATAGCTTATCAGATGTGGTTTTTTGGGCTCAGTGGAGAAACCACTGCAGGGACTTGTTCCCTTTGTTCTTTGTTCACAATTGGGAATTTTGGATAAATCAATGTCCCGTTAAAATTCAGGAACAGGCTTGAATAATAAGTGCTAACAATATTTGTGATCCAATGAAATTTACATTATTTCAACTCAACTAAGTAGATCTTGGTTCTAAAAGACATTTCCATTCTGCCCTAAGAGCTGTGAGATATGGAGTTTGAACCTTCATTTTGATAAACGTAAACCCAGGAGGAAAGGAAGAGGGCCCCAAAAGAGATGGGTCAATCCCAGTGAATAAGAAGTTTCCCAGGGAACATACCCATGGCTTCTCATCCATCCTCTCCCTTATATTTTGGTCATCTATGTGGACTCAACTCTGATATGACAGGGGAAACCAAACAGAACAGGACTTGCAAAATACTGATTGTTTCTATTTATTTCATTGCTGACAATGGAGATGGATAGATTTAAAATTTTATAAACAGGAATTTTCCATTAGTTGAAAGAAACACAGAACATTTATGTGTTCTTCAGTGTATTCATTCACTTATGCAAAGATAAAGCACTGTAGGGAATGCAAAAAAAAAATTTTTAAAACAAGGCTCAAGAGACAATTTTATTAAGAGTAGAATGAGTGGCAGTAACTAAGCAGGTATATCTCACTCAGGAGCACAGTTAACCACTCTAGAGACTGTAGTTAGGGAGCAAAGTCAGTGTGGAGGGAGGAGGGAGGCCAGATGAATCTTAGTAACTTCCATGACATAGAGATTTTCAAGTGTCATTTGCCTTAGAACCCTCCTCAAGTGAAATTGTATGTGGATATCCAATGCTGAGAACTGAGCTCCTCATCCCACCAATGTGCCCTGTTACCCCCTACTCTACAAATGTTTGCAGTTTGAAAGTCGCTGAAATAAAGAAGGTTCTGGGTACAGAAGGGAAGGAAGGCAGCATTCTGAGTGCAGAGAGCAGCATGTGCACAGCTGGCCAAGGGGCTTATGCTAGATTTTTCAACTAGCACAATTAAAGTATTTAGGAAAAGTATCTGATATATTGAAGTTGATCCAATGGGTATCGGGAACCACTGATGATTCTTAAGTTGGAGAGTGATGTGATAAAAACAAACATTAAAGAATATGGATATGGCAGCCATGTTGATGACCTAGAAGATCCAAATGGAATAATCCAAACATCAGAAGTGGAGAGCACTGGACAGAGCTGCAAGTGTTAAAATGGGGAAGTGGGGTACAGCTATTCAATAGGTCTTAGTAATTGAATACACATGAGAGTTAAAAGAAATCAGTCCAGACAATGAATTTTTTATTTGTTCTTTTTAGATGCAGATGACAGTAGAATTTATTTTGACATTATACATACATACGTACAGTATAATTTAGAATACCCCATTCTTGTGGTTGTACATGATGTACAGTTACATTGATTGTGTATTCATATGTGAACATAGGGAAGTTATGTCTGATTCATTCTACTGTCTTTCCTATTCCCATCCCTTCTCCCTTCCCTTTATTCCCTTTTATCTAATCCAATGAATTTCTATTCTTCCCTCTCCCCACCCTACCTTATTATGTATCTCCACATGCAGCCTTTGTTTTGGGGGGATTGGTTTATTTCACTTAACATGATAATCTCTAGTTCCATCCATTTACCAGCAAATATCATTATTTCATTCTTTAGAGCTGAGGAATATTTCACTGTGTACATATACCACATTTTCTTTATCCATTCATCTGTTGAAGGGAACTTAGATTGATTTCACAGTTTAGGTATTATGAATTGAGCTGCTATAAACACTGACGTGGCCACATCACTGTAGTATGCTGATTTTAAGTCCTTTGGGTATATGCCGAGGAGTGGGATAACTGAGTCAAATGGTGATTTAATTCCAAGTTTTCTGAGGAATCTCCATACTCCATACTCCAACCACTCTGGGGTTGCACCAATTTGTGGTCCCACCAGCAATGTAAGAGTGTACCTTTAAAAAATGAATTTTGACCATCAGAATAAGTGAGTACAATTTATATCACATACTCGTGTAACCTGCAGTTTTGACCATGGCCATTATCTCTGTTAATCATCAAACAGTTGTGGGATTATTTTTCTAACCTCTATCTATTCTTAGACTATTATATTATGAGAGCCAGGACTTTGCCTGTTTGGTCTCCATTGTATCACTAAAATTTAGCATAATAGGTATGTATTAGGCAATCAAATATTTGTGAAATTAAGAAATTAACAAATGATAGCATCACTGATGTTGCAAAAGAGATATAGGTGAATTCAGTTTTTATCACATTTTTCTTAAATAAGGAAAACAGATTTCTCACTCCATAAGACATTGGACTGAGCATAGTTGAAATGTCAGCAATGGGTATAAAAACTAGGTCAACAACAACAACTGAAGCCATGAGAATTAATTAGTTCACCCAGGAGAGTGAGTTTAGAGGCAGAAGAGCAGATGCGCTAAGGATTCCTATGCAAAAGTCAAATGGAGAACCAGAACAGTCTAAAAGTAAAGAATGCTTCCTTGAGGGTAAATTTGGAATGGTTTGCTATACACCCACACTTTGAGACATTTATAAACTGTAACAGGAAGAAATCCTCTTTCAAAAAATAAAAAGTTTAAAACATTAGGAATTTTGGAAATAGAAATAAAATGTACAATTAATCAAGGAAGGTTCAACCCAAATTAAGTCCCTATCAAAATTCCTCATTGTATTTATAAAATGTGGTTAACCACTTATCCCAAATGGTAACAGTGCCCTGCTGGGAAACACTAGTTATGACACAGAGTTTTTTCTTTCTTTTTACTTTTCCTCCTCTCTTCTTTTTTCTTCTGTCTCCCACTTTCCTTTCATAGCAATACATAAAACATCTTTTCTAGAATTATATAATCCATATGGAGTTCCAAAATCTCATTTGCTGATCTAATTTTTGTATCATCCCACCTAAATTTTTTTGTTCATTGTTTATTGATGATGCTATTGTTGTACTTGTTTTGGTTTGTTTGTTATTTATTTGTTTTTGCAATGCAGAGGATTGAACCCAGGATGCTCTACCATTGCGATACATCCCCAGTCCTTTTTATTTTGAGGCAGGGTCTCACTAAGTTGCTAGGTGATCCTTGAACTTGTGGTCATCCTGTCTTGTTCTCCTGAGTCACTGGGATTACAGATGCGCAACACCATTTTGGTGTCTGTTCATTTTTGTTTGGGGCTTCTGTTTTGTTCTGTACTTTGGTTATTAGAAAAGAGAGAGGAAAAAAACAGTTGAATGACATAAAGTATGAACCCTCTGTTATCAAGGAGACATCTGTATCTACAACCCGTTCTTACTGAGACTATAAGACAAACACAGCTTTCTTTTCTTTTTTCTTTTTCTTAAAAATAAGGATAGAACCAAGGATATTATTATGACAGAGTTACAATGTTGATTTTCATCTGTGTAATATTTTCTTCTATTTAGCCCTGTAAGAAATTATGTGTATTTTATTTAGAAAGTGAATAGGCATGGATTTTGAATGCTTAAGTGTTAAATGCTATAATTTACATGTAAAATTTAAACACTGAAATTCTTAAGTATTTTAAAATTAACTATAGTATTAGTGACAAGAGGTCTAAGAAAAGAAAATTCTAGGGACAGAAACCATCAATACAATCACCAATAATATTTCTTCAGGAAACCTGCACAGGTACTTAGTGATTTCATGCTTCTAATAGTGGTTTTTATTCCAAAGAAAACATAAAATTACTAAAACCTATGATCAATTCAGGGACAATACAGTTCCACAATGATGTTCCACTAAACCTAGAAACTAAGCCTCAGAACACTATGGTTCTGCTAGAAGCTATTTCTTTTCCATGAAACTCTTTTACAGTTTATTCATTTATTATTTGCACACAAAGCTCCAGGTGAATATTTACAGTGTGTTCAACGCTGTACTAGGCCAGAAGAATAAGGGACACAGTTGTTGCTCTCAAGGACCCCAAAGGAGCTCTCACCTTAGCCACCCCCATCATCCTTGGCTCCTCACCTTCCTAGAGACTTGGCAGGTATCTAACCAGAAGCAGTTGGCTTCTTTTGGTTCTATCAGCTGTGTTTATGAGACAGAAAAACCTCAGATAGCTATGATTTAAACCCATTTTCCAAGAGTAGCACCATCTTTTTTAGCATCCAAATTTATATTTCCCCATTGTATACTAAATTGCAGCTGCAATAAACTTGAGGTTTTGCTGACCCCAACACTCAGCAAGAAGCAGGGAACACCCAGGGGTTGTGTTCTAGAACTTTCTGAAAGTTTTGCTGAACAAGAAATAATTGTCAACAAATAAGGGAGAAATTATTCAATTATATCAAGATTGTTCAACTAATACTAAGGGTCAATTTGTGGAGAAATAAGTGTAGACACATAATCCATGAATAAAAAAAGAATATGAAGAAGAGGATTAAGCAAAACATGCTGAACACATCATCACTGCTTTGATGGGCAATCTAATAGGCAAACAGGAAATACTGTGGTGTGCTGACTGCTCCCCAGGACTAAGAGGGCCTCTGGTGCATCAGGCGAAGCACAGTCAAATCATGACTTCAGGTTTTCCAAACCTT